CATTTTCATTGTGATTTTAGCATTGCCTTCTGTGTATGATAAATTCTACTGTTTTGGGTTTTATATGGTGACATAAATGATCTTTTTTAAAAACTGGAGTATAAAAAGTGCATTGATTTAAAATACTAAGTGAATAATAGTCCACTTGGTTCTTGGATGTGGCAGGATTGGAGGAAGGGACTGGGTGAGTGCTGCCTTTTCAGAGGCCTTATGGAGTCTTGGGTGTGACCAGCTGGAGGCCCGTGGTGGACCAGGCATCTTCACGAAGCCCACTGCTGATCAGCTTTGGCAGCCAACATGCAAATCAGAAGCCAGGTTTGAGAAAGTGGTCTTCATTTCTCTGTGACATTGGCTTTCCTCGGGGTCATGGACCTGTGCAAAGACAGGCAGCTTCTCTTTGCTGTCTGTCTCCTTCCAGCCACCAAGAGATGGCCAGACCCCAGCCATGCCTTCATCCTGAGATGAGATAGAAACCTCCTGCCACATGGCCTGTCACCAGGGTGGAGGATTAGAATGGCTGGGTGAGCAGGGGAGGGTGACATCTGTCTTTAACCACTTTAATTGATTGTTTGGTACATGGAGAGAGGAATGAGCAATGGGTTTCTAGAGGGCAAGAAGGAGGAAAAGCGCTGCGACTTTCAGAAGGCCCCAGCCTTGAGAAGGTTCCCTGCCAGTATTGGTTTCCCCCCGGGAACAGGTGGGGCTCAGGAGGGAAGGAACCATTGTGTCCTGACACCTCATGTGTGCTGGGCATTGCCAGGTACTCCACGGATGCAAACAACTCAATGCAGTGGGTATTGTCCCCTTTTCCAGATGAGGAAACCAGACCAGAGAGAGTGGGTGACTTGTCTGAGGTCCCACAGCCAGGAAGGGGCAGAAACACAATCAGCACAGACAGGCCGAATCCAGACCTCACGCCATCTGCCCTGAGGAGGAGGACAGCCGGCAGCTGAACTCCAGGAAAGAATGCCCTTCTCCCACTTTCAGAGCCTTGCCCACCATTGCCTGTAAAACTTTGGGGCCATTTTCTTACTTAAGCCACCTCCTGAACCAGGCGGCTTCTCTGCAGAGATACTGAGCTGAGATACTACTTCAGAAAGTGGATCTGGTACCCGACCGTCATTCTGACTACAGAAACCAGCCAGCCATGTCCTCTGTCCAGCTCTGGGGGATGGCCTGGAATGAAAGGTTACAGTTTCAGAAAGGAAGGAAAAACAAATCTAGTGGCTGATAACTTGTCTGCTGTGCTCTAGTGATGTCAAAAGGTTGGAGAACCTGTTGCCCTGGGTTCTATAAGCTGCAGCTCTGGGGTGTTTTTCAGCCTGGAGCTCTTGTGCCTTAGAGTGAGCTTGTCCAACCCACAGTGCGGCCTGCAGGCCACATACAGCTCAGGGCAGCTTTGACTGTGGCCCAACACAGCTTCATAAACTGAGTTAAAACATTATGAGATTTTAGCCTGGGCAACATGGTGAAACCCCATCTCTACTAAAAATACATAAATTAGCCGGGCATGGTGGTGTGCGCCTGTAGTCCCAGCTACTCAGGAGGCTGAGGCAGGAGAATTGCTTGAGCCTGGAACTACAGTGAACCAAGATCACACCACTGCACTCCAGGCTGGATGACAAAGCAAGTCCCTGTCTCAAAAAAAAAAAAAAAAAAAAAAGAAGTTACAAGGTTTTGTTTTTGTTTTTGTTTTTTTTGTTTGTGTGTTTTTCTTTTTAGCTTATCAGCTAGCTATCATTAGTGTATTTTATGTGTGGCCCAAGAGAGTTCTTCCAGTGTGGCCCAGGGAAGCCAAAAGATTGGAGAATCCTGCCTTAGAGAAAGGGATGGGCCAGGTGCAGTGACACACCTACACACCCAGCACTTTGGGAGGCCCGAGGCGTGTGGATCACGAGGCCGGGAGATTGAGATCATTCTGGCTAACATGGTGAAACCCTGTCTCTACTGAAAATACAAAAAGTTAGCTGGGCGTGGTAGCGTATGCCTGTAGTCCCAGCTACTTAGGAGGCTGAGGCCAGAGAATCACTGCAACCCCAAACCCTGGAGGTGGAGATTGCAGTGAGCCAAGATCACACCACTGTACTCCAGCCTGGGCAACAGAGCCAGACTCCATCTCAAAAAAAGAGAGAGAGAGAGAAAAGCGATGAACCTGAGGTGCTGAGAGGAGTTTCAGCTTTGGGGTCAGGCCACGGGGGTTCTAATCCTGGCTCTGCCATGTAGGAGCTGTGTGGCCTTGCACAACTTGCTTAACCTCTCGGAACTCCACGTGAAATGCAAGGGTGAGGGTCCTACTTGGCCCCACCTCCTAAAGCTGTTTTTGAGGAATAAGTGAGCTAAGACGCGAGTTAGCGTAGCACAAGCTGAACAGGAAGTAAATGCTTCATAAATGTCAGGTGTTGTCATGATTTTCATTTAGAGTTTGCCAAGGCTGCTATTGCAAGACACAGGAGCAAGTGGTTGATGTCTAATAGCCGAAGTGGGTGACAGATGAAAATTGAACTGTGTCCCAGGACATCCTCCAGCCCTAGATACAGAAACCTGGGGTCACATCCCTGTCCTCAACTCACTGTGATTTTAGGCAGAGGTCACCACCCTCTCTGGGCCCGTTCAGTCTCTGCTGTGGAATGGGTGGGACCAGCTTGGATCAAAGTCCTCAGACCTCACACAATACTGTCAGCAGCTTTTGCCATATCTGCCTGTTACCTGAATTATAAAGAGTTTTCTTTACATTAGCTCCTTTTAGAGTGAAATATTTTGAAAAGATAAACTTTTTTTTTTTTTTTTTTTTTTTTGAGACAGTCTCACTCTGTTGCCCAGGCTGGAGTACAATGGCACAATCTCTACTCACTGTAACCTCTGCCTCCCCCAGCTCAAGTGATTCTCCTGCCTCAGCCTCCCAAGTAGCTGGGAATACAGGCGCCCCCACCCCCATGCCTGGCTAGTTTTGTATTTTTTTCAGTAGAGATGGGGTTTCGCCATGTTGGCCAGGCTGGTCTCGAACTCCTGACCTCAAGTGATCCACCCGCCTTAGCCTTCCGAAGTGCTGGGATTACAGGCGTGAGCCACTTAGAAAAGAGAAAGTATATTACTACCAGAACTGGAAACCTGACATCACTTGGTATAAATGGAAGGTGACCCTACAGATAAACACAATGAAAACAGACCAGTGTTAGTCAATGCCATGTGTAGCCCGTTCACACAAAAGCACAGCTGCAGCCAGACTGGCACCTGGCTGGGACTGTTGGGGATGCTGTTTATGGTCATAGGATTGAGAGAGGAGTGAGGTCCTCACCGAATGAGTCTATCTTTTCTCTCTCTTTTTTTTTTTTGAGACAGGGTCTCTGTCATCCAGGCAGGGTGCAGGGGCACAGTCATAGTTCACTGCAGCCTTGAACTGCTGGGCTCAAGCGATCCTCCCACCTCAGCCTTCCAAGTAGGTGAGACTACAGGTGTGCACCACCATGCCTAGCTAATTTTTAATTTTTTTATAGAGACAGAGTCTTGCTGTGTTGCCCAGTGTGGTCTCAAACTCCTGGCCTCAAGCGATCCTCCCACCTCGGCCTCCCAAAGTGCTGGGATTGTAAGCATGAACCGCTCTATCTGGCTGATTCCAAGTTTGCAAACACCGTGTCCACACAAGTCTAAGATGGGCTCTAGGGTGACCGCAGTCCTTGGCCATCTCTGCAGTAAGCATCTGTGCAGCTGAATCTGAATAAAAGATTCTGCTCTGGGTTCCTGGCTAGCAGGTATCGTAGGAGCAGCCTGGCGGACGGCAGCTATGGAGAGACATTAGCTCTGCCTGCACTTCCAGCCTGGGGGCCAAGTGGGCTCTGGTGTCAGAGAAGGGCCTCAGCAAAGAAGGGCAAGTCGACCTGCCGGGAAGAGCTCGTGGAGGGAAGGGGGCGAGGCACCCACCGCCTCTGTTAAGGGCTCAGGAAGTGGTAGCTGCTCTGATTTGCACTGTTCCCATCGTTATTACCAAGCCACTGCCAGCTGTGCCTCTCATGCAGTGCATCTTTAGGCATGTCTCTTGGCTTCTCTGAACTTCAGTTTCTTACCCTATACAATGATAAGAACCTCAGTGTATTATAAGATTCATGGGTCTCAATGGAAACAGTTCTGCTCCCTTTCGTCAACCTTGGAAATAGGGTTAGGAGGGCATTTTGAGTTGTTAAGAGTGGCAAGGGCTGCTATCGGCATTTAGTTGCCTGGAGCCAGGGATGCTGCTAAATATTCAGTGCTCAGAACAGCCACTCCCACGTCCAGGAATTGTCCTACCCCAAATGACAATAGCACCCTGTCAAACAACAATACATGTCACACCGTAACATACAAGTTGTGCGAGATGTTCAGTGAAGTCTGCGGAAGGGATAGTCTGAGCTGGCTAAGATGAGGCTCGGAATCGGAGCAGGGCTGGAGGGGCTGCAGAGCGGTTGGGCATGGGCACCCAGCTGGGAACACAGAGAAGGCAGTGGGAAAGGGGGACCTGCCAGGGGGCCAGGCCTGGGAGATGATGCTGTGTCCTGGGAGGAAGAGCCAAGGGGAGCTGCTGAGTAGCTTGGTTGTGGCCAGTGCCTTCCTGTAGGTTGCAAAGCATTTTTGAGCAAGGTCGGAGGTGCTGCCAAGCCCTGCCCACTACCCAGCGCTGGCTTAGCTGGCTCAGAGCTGCAAGTCGGCCCTCAGACCCTGTGTGACTCCTGAGCCGGCTGCGCCAGCATCCTCCTTCCTCTCCCTTGTGAAATGAACTGTTTCTCCAGCCCAGGGTCTCTGAGAAATTCGGCAAATTCATTACAAAGAGTTTTAATAAAAATTTTGCAGAAAGACATTTCCAGCCTGAGTCTGGGGCTCCCAGTGGTTCCTCAAATGTGAGAGATGGAGGAAGACTTCCTACCCCACTGCAAGCCTCCTGAGCCTGGTGGATTGGTCCCTGTCCCCAGCCAACCTGGTGGCAGGGTGGGGCTTCCATGCTAGTAACCCCTTTTTTTTCTTCCTGTTAGGCCTTTTCCCCTCAAAAGCTTCGTGCCAACAGAGAGGTTCCTTTTCAGACCCAGGAGGGTGGAACGCAGATTGGGACTGAGCCCTGAGGTTGGGAAGGCCTCTGCTCCCACAGAAGGGGGAAGGCAAGGGGTGTCCCAAGACCTCATCTGCCTGCAGCATCACAGCGACGGCCTGGCCTTGGCTTCTGATTATTTGCAACTGCGACGGATGTTTACAGGCACCCAGCCAGAGTTTGCGTCCTCGAACTTCACCCCGGAGCGCACCTGCTTCCCCCACTTCACCTTCAGAGAGGACGCTTCAAACTGTGGACACACGCACAAGCGATTCCCAGCTCCATGTGATGTGAGTTGAGCCTTCAGGCCAGCTGGGTTTACCCCAAGGCTGGTCTTAGATGCAGAGACTTGTTTCAGGGAGTGACTCAGAAGAAAAAGAAGCCGAGGAAGCTTTCGGGGGGTGCTGAGGGTGGGATTTTCGCTTCTTCATTTCAGGTTACTCGTTCTTCAGTAAGTTGGCAAAACAAGTTCCTCATGCTGGGGAGTGCCACGTGACTCCCCTGGCTGGAAATGCTTTTCTGAAAGCATGAGTGTTGTGCCTACTTAATTCTGATAAACCTGTTTAAGCAATACTTAGGAGGCTGACTTCTTTGGATTAAACAAAAATGTATGCAACTCCAACCCCTGGGGCCCTGCCTTTTTTTTTTTTTTTTTTTTTTTTTTTTAGACTTTGAGATTTGGGAAAGGAGTTTTAGGCAGAACCTTGCGATTGACAAACAGCAGAAGATCAGGGCCTCCCAAGTTGGAGATCCTGTGAGGTTCAGAGAGGCCTGCCCCAGCTGGGCTGATGTGAGAGTCCCAGGCTGGCCCTCTGCCCCGCTCCACAAGCCAGGGACAGCATTTGGGGTGTGGTGAGAAAAGCCTGAAGGCCAAGCTGGAAACAGGGCCTGAATCCCGTGGAAGTGGGAGTGGGTATCCCCTATGCCAGGCACATGGTAGGCCTTCATCAAAGATAGCAGGGAAGGGCTTGGCATGGTGGCTCATATCTATAATCCCAGCACTTTGGGAGGCCGAGGTAGGCAGATCACTGAGGTCAAGAGTTTGAGACCAGCCTGGCCAATATGACGAAAACCCATCTCTACTAAAAATACAAAAAATTAGCCAGGTGTGGTGGCACACGCCTGTACTCCCAGCTACTCGGGAGGCTGAGGCAGGAGAATTGCTTGAACCGGGGAGGCAAAGGTTGCAGTGAGCCAAGATCACACCACTGCACTCCAGCCTGGGCAACAGAGCAAGACTCTGTCTCACAAAAAAAAAAAAAAAAAAAAAAAAGGAAGGACTAAATGAATGAGTGGAATTGGGTCAGCTTGCAGTTCCGTGGAATACTAGCAGTACTTCTCTCCAGTTTGCAGAGTACTTGATTTTCAAAGCACCTTCACATACACACCAAGTGAAGCAGGGTACAAATGATTAACCCCATTCTACAGGTAAAGAGACTGAGGTGTGGGGAAGTACAGGCACCCCGGAACTCTGGGGGAAGACAATTATAGCACCCCTTGCCCTCATGTGATTCTAAATAAAGAAGCGAGCCGGGCACGGTGGCTCACCCTTGTAATCTCACACTCTGGAAGGCCGAGGCGGGTGGAACACCTGAGATCAGGAGTTCAAGACCAGCCTGGCTAACATGGTGAAACCCCATTTCTACTAAAAACACAAAATTAGCTGAGCGTGGTGGCAGGCGCCGGTAATCCCGGCTGCTCAGGAGGCTGAGGCAGGAGAGTAGCTTGAACACTGGAGGCAGAGGTTGCAGTGAGCAGAAGTTGCGCCATTGCACTCCAGCTTGTGTGACAGAGCGAGACTCCATCTCAAAAAATAAAGAAAAGAGAAAAGCTACAAAATCTGAAGAGAAGACATTTCAGAGGCCCAAGGAAAAAGGTGAGCGTGAAGAGGGAGGTGTGCATGGAGAGAGAGGCCTGAGAGGAAAAGTGAGCCTTTGGAAGGTACGCAAACTTAAAAGCCACTGGACGTGGATTTCACCATCATGCCCTGATTGCTCTGAGCAGGGCTTCACCACCTGAAATACGTGGCTCAGGGGGCACTTCTGGCACACCGTGCCTGTGCCTACAGAGAGGGCCTCCTAAAAAGTCAGAAGTCCATTCCTTTATAGGAGTGTGACTCTCAGTATCACTGAGATCTGTGACATGGGGACAGTAATTTATCCACATCTTATGACAACTTTGTGTTAACTACAAAAAGGTGCCCCTCTGGGTTAAAAGGCTCCACACCAGGACTCCCAGCTTGGCAAGCAGAACCCAGACTGTTTTGCAGCCCCTATGATCCCCCTCGTCCAGGTGCCTTTGTGCAGTGTCCAGACTGGCCAACCTCACCTGGCAGCCCTGTCCAAAGAGATTTTCTAATTTGCTAAAATATAAGACTCACCAGGGCAGGAACATCTTATTCACGACTGCACTCAGTACCCATTTGTAGAATTAATAAAGCAAAGTTAGGTGAGGATTATTTGTTCATTCTATGTGTACTGAGCACCTATTATACACAGGTGCCTTGCTGGGTGCAGAGGGCACAGCAGTGTACAAAGCAAGCTGTTTCTCACCCTCCTGAAGCTCATGTCCCAGGACAAGAGCAGACGATACCTAAATAAGTGAAAAAGATAAACTAGTGATGCGTTTATCTTTTTCATGAAGAGAGCTGGGAGGAACATTCCAGGCAGAGGCAAGAACGAAACACAGATGTGTGTAATAATGACAGCCAACATGTTATTGAGCTCAAGTTCTCAACTTTTTAGCTCACCACACCTTCACATAATCCCATAAAGAAGGTTCTGTGATTATGCCCATTTTACACATGAGGAGACTGAGGCACAGAGAACCAGCTTGCAAACGTGAGTGGTAAGCTGAGCATTGAGCCCAGGCAAACTCGTTCTAGAGTCTCTGCCACTTGCCCCTAGATTGTCATCCGTCTTGAGCAGGAGTTTAGCACGGTGCTTGGCACGCAGTCATCACAATCGCTAATGCTTACTGAGTGTTTACAATTTCCCTTGTACTGTGGTAAGTGCTATCAGCTCATTAAATAAACAGTAGCAGCTAGGCATGGAGGCTCACACCTGTAATCCCAGCACTGTGGGAGGCCAAGATGGGCAGATCACCTGAGGTCAGGAGTTTGAGAGCAGCCTGGCCAACATGGCAAAACTCCATCTCTACTAATAATACAAAAATTAGCCAGGTGTGGCGGTGCACGCCTGTAATCCCAGCTACTTGGGAGGCTGAGGCAGGAGAATCACTTGAACCCAGGAGGCAGAGGTTGCAGTGAGCTGAGATCATGCCACTGCACTCCAGCCTGGGCAACAAGAGTGAAACTCCATCGCAATAAAATAAGATAATAAACAGTAGCTATCACACACGAATCGTTACTATGAATAACTGCAGACTCTGACCTCATTTCATCACCTCCACACAGCCCAAAGGGAGTGGGTCAGACCAAAAACCTGGAACATGGCACAGCTGACGATCAGAGCGCACCTCAGTGCTCACTCCTGTTGCTGCACACACAGGAAGCCCATGGCCTCTATAGAGTCTACAAGTGCAGGGATCCCCTGCGGGGTGACACCTGAGCTATTTACAACCTGGACCTGGGCGACAGCACCTGATACCCTTTGCAGCCGGATCCAGGCAGGAAGTGCTTCCCTCCCTACAAAGATCGTCAACCACACAGCTGGGTCTGGATCCCTCAGACCCTCTGGACAACCGACTCTAACTGGCTGGGGAGAGCAGCAGAGCTTGGGAACCAGGCTGATCCTGTGGGCACTGGGACTGGTGAGCTGGAGCTGAACAGGCAGCTCCCACTGCCACGAGGAATAAGCCAAGCTGTCTTGAATTAGCTTCTGAGCAGGTGATGCCAGAATGAAAAGCAGCAGCCATGCTGGCAGCTCGCTGGGTAAAAAGTGGAGCTGCGAAGTCCCTTTCAGGCTCACTGCAGCCCGAGGCAGGACTCCATCTCCACTAAAAACCAGCTGACTCCCAGGACAGAGCTGTGTCAGGGACAGAGGCAAACAATTCCCTTTGATACAACTCTTCGTGCTTCAACCTTTCTGATCCCCAGACAATGAATTTTCCACTGAATTTCAGGAAGCCACAAGAAAATCCTTTCAGAAAAGAGGACTTGAGCCAAGGTGGGCTCTGGGGTGTGTGTGTGTGTGTGTGTGTGTGTGTGTGCACGCGTGCGCACACACATGCGTGAAAGGAGTGTGGGTATTAGAGTAGCAGCCCTTGTCACACTGGCCAAAAAAATATGGCAGAAGGGAGCTGGCTGCGGTGGCTCACACGTGTAATCCCAGCACTTTGAGAGGCTGAGGCAGGAGAATCACTTGAGGTCAGGAATTTAAGACCTGCCTGGGCAACACAGCAAGACCTTGGCTCTACAAAAATAAAAATAAAAATTAGCTGGGCTTAGTGGCTCACACCCAGCTATTCGGGAGGCTGATACAGAGTTGTGAGGATCACATGAGTCCAAGAAGTTGAGGCTGCAGTGAGCCGTGATTGTAGCACTGCATTCTAGACTGGGTGATAGAGTGAGATCCTGTCTCTGAAAAGAAAAAAAAAAAAAAAAGAATCTCTATGTCAAGTAATGCTGTTGACAGGTTATGAAAAGTGGTCTCCATCTCTTCCTCTCTCTTTTTCTTTCTCTTTTTGGGACATCCTCCAACCTAGCTACCATGCTGTGAGGAAGCCCAACTAGCCCACATGGCGGAGTCCCAGCAAACTGTTCCTTAGTGGAACTGAGGCCCCCAGCCAATAGCCAGCATTGCCTGCCAGACATACATGGGAACAAGTCTTCAGGTGACCCCAGCCCAGCCCTCAAGCTGCTCCAGCTGACACAGAGTAGGAGAGAAGGAGCTGTCCCCACTGAGCCCTGCTCAAATGACAGATGTGTGAGCAGAATAAATGTGTGTTGCTTTAAGCCACTATGTTTTGGAATGGCTTGTTATGTATCAGATAACCAGAGCGGTGGGTACCCCAAAATGGTAACAAGGTAGGAACTCAAACCCTGGACCTGCCTGTGACATTGAAGAGACATTTATAATGTAGTGAAAAAAGACACAGGAAATGAAGCTCTGCTTCCAGTCTGTTCTCCTCTCACCGCCCTTATTAGTGTCCCATGAGCTGTTTCCCTGCTAAGGGCCAGTGCATCTGGCCAGGCCTAGCTTTGGCCTTGGCCAGAAAAGTCAGTGCATCAAGTCCCGCAGAGCCACAGAAGCTGCCACAGAAGCCCAGCCTGTTGCAGTCTGGGGAATTAGCAGGCTGGGGGTTGCCCATCAGTGTCTTCTTAGCACCCGGAGTGCCCTGTCACGGTGTCTGGATCAGAGAGCAGGGTGGAGAAGTACTTTCTCTATGGCTGGTTGTGGTGGCTCATGCCTGTAATCCTACCACTTTGTGAGGCTGCAGTGGGCAGATCACCTGAGGTCAGGAGTTCGAGACCAGCCTGGCCAACATGACAAAATCCTGTCTCTACTAAAAATACCGAAAATTATCTGGGTGTGGTGGTGGGTGCCTGTAATCTCAGCTACTCCGAAGGCTGAGGCAGGAGAATTGCTTGAACCCAGGAGGCGGGGGTTGCAGTGAGCCCAGATCGCTCCACTGCACTCCAGCCTGGGACTGTCTCAAATA